TCAGGGTTCAAATGCGATACGCGCAAGTTTTCTTGTAGTATTTTTAGTCTATGAGATTGATAATTTTTTAACGAATTAGTGTTGGCTTGGACGTTCAGTATTCTAACTACATCTTCTGTAATCGGTTCGATATTTATTTCAAGGTTTCTGTTAAGTAGATAGTCGTTTTCGATAGTATTAAGGATAGTTGTTTTTGCGTATCCGTTTGCATCAATCTTTACTATGCTGCCGGATATGTATACACCTTTCTAAATTTCTGTGATGTCTATTATACCTTCTTTTACCTGAGTATTGTTTATTTTAATAGGTACAATGGTTTCTGTCCTGGCGTTAACTCTGTGAATTTCAACTGGTTCTGTGTTGAGGTTTCTGTCAGTTAAGGTTTTTGTTGAATTTAGTTTTAGGTGTTTTTTTTGTTTGAATAAGAGCCGTTCTTGAAATAAAGTTTATTATCAGTATTGTCTATCTTAGTTTTGAGTTGTGTAAGGATATCGTTTCCAAGTATTCCAGAAAAGGAGATAGGAAAGGAGTCTTTGACAACATGAAATATAACTGGGTATTTGAATTCATCTACAATTAAGTCTAAATGGCAATATCCTAACGTGTCGAAATTTTCATTTGAGAGTCCGTTGATTTTTAGTTTTGTATCTTCATAGCAGGGAGTGTCTTCATGCAATTGAGAAATTTTTATAATTGATATGTCAGCACCGCAATCAAGTAGTAGGTTTACTGGGTTTTCTAATGCTTGAAGAATTTTAGCGTTTACCGAGGTAGTGATACCCCTAATAAAATTTATTTTTATTGTTCTGCCTGAAGGGCTCGAATGCTCCGAGGTACGGCAGCTACCGGAGCATCGTCCAAGTTTAAAGTGTGGATTTCGGGGTCAGAGAAATGTACGTCAGCATCTATGTTGTTAATCCGTTGATTTGGTCTGTAATTATTCTGTGACGTGGAAGGGTTAGAGTGATTTTGAGGTGTAGGGAGGTTAGGGTGAGTTTGGCGGGTTATGCCCGTACTGATTTCGTGGTGAAATGGGATTAGCGTAATTTTGGTTTTGTTTAGCATTATTATACTCTCTTCTCCTGCATTCAGAAATGACATGTCCCGTTTTTTTGCAGTAGTTACAAACTTTTCCTTCATTTGTTTGAAGTTGGCGAATGTTCGGTTCGTTTTTAATTTTTATATTCCGTGGTAAATTGTTAGGTTTGAGTTTAAAGCATTCGAATGTACTATGTCCCATACGATCGCAATGATCACAATATTTAGTTTCTTTGGAACTAACATTTTGAAATTTGACCATCTCGTTACGCGATTTTAACTCGCACTCTTCGGCTAGACCGTACTGGATAGCATCTTCAAGAGATTCAGGTTTTTGCGTTTTTACGACTAAAGACATATCTTTATGTAAACCTAACACAAATACATTCATGGCTTGTTTTTGTAGTAATTTTACGCACGCTGCTCGATCTGTTTCATTTAGGTCTGATTGAAGGCTACTACATAATTTGATATAGCAATTCTCTACCTTGGTTGCATAAGACAAGATATCTTCTTTTGGACCTTGTCTACAAGAAGATAGTTCTAACTGCCATTGAGCATGAGATCTTTTTCAGAGTAAGCATCAAGAAGATATGTTTTGAGGGATTCCCAGTTAGGGAATGTTCTGTTACGAATAAGCGCACGTGCATTTCCAGATATTTTAGTTTGGATTATGATGAATAATGTCGCTTTTTTAGGTTCCTCTATTATGCTTAAAGCCTTATCGCAATTATCGCAAAATTCAAAAAGAGTTGATTTATCTCCATTGAAAGAACTTAATAGTCTAGCCGCGATCTCGATCGACACAGTCATTTTTGGATCTGAATTTAGTATTATAGAGATAATATAATCGAACTAATGAAATAAGATATCCATAAACAATTTTGACTTACAGAAGTAGAATGTTGATCATAGTGGAGATGTTGAAATGATGAAGCTGCTTGGTGATTGAGACCGGTGATCCTGTTAGGTGTTGGAGAAAATGGCTTAGTACAGCAGGCAGTACAGTTGTGGTCAGCAATTCGACAGCGGTGGTGATGATGGTTGTCTCTCGAACTTGAATTACGATGATTTTGGAGATTCGCTTGGTTACTTGAAGACTTTTAATGTTTGTAGATTTGAAAAGAATTTTGATGATTTAGATTTTGATTTCACTTGAATAGCTGTAGATTTGGAGAGAGTTTTGATGATTTAGATTTTGATTTCACTTGAATAGTTGTAGATTTGGAGAGAGTTTTGATGATTTAGATTTTGATTTCACTTGAATAGTTGTAGGTTCTTGAAGATTCAGCTTCCGTGATTTGTACTTTGATTCTTACTTTTGGATCCTTCTCGACCAGCAGACACACTGTATTTTCGAGAGATGATCCCACTTCTGACACCAATGTTATAAAATCAATTTTCCAACATAGAAGGTGAATAGGGTTGAACAATTTATTGTAGACTTAGTAATACAACGTACAGGTTGACTTATCGTCTAAGAGTGAGTGTAGCTAAGGGAAGAAGGATTTTTATAACAGGGCCAGTTAAGGAAAGGGTAGGCGTCTTGTGACGTAGAGGGTTTTTCTTGAAGTGAAACGGTGGAAAATCAGGAATTTGGAAAGTTAGAGAAATCGAGTCTCTCAGGGAGATTTTGAAGAGATAAAGTTTTATTACAGGATGAAGAAAAAAAGGGTTGTGAGGAATTTTTGGAAAGTATGAATTCTTACTTATTTTATCTTAGCTTACGTACAATATATTTCTTAGTCTAAGTTGAGGGTTTATTACATGTGTAATGGTTATATTCCATTTAATAAGTTGATAGCCGAGCGGGTAAAGTTACCGGTTCAAGTTATGCAAATTAATGGTCGTAGGTTTCAAATCCCCCTGGGTACAATTTTCAATTATTTAATTTTCCGCGGAAATTTCATCAATTATAATCAATTAATAATATTTCTCATGTAATAGTCATAAAAAAAGAATTGTCTAAATATTTCTTGTTTTTAATAACAAAACTGTAATATTACGATAACATAACAGTTATATTATTGTAACATAATAGCAACATAACAATGTTATGTTGTTGAACGGGAAGTAGTAAGCGATATTAGACAAACGGTCAACATAATTCAATAAATATTATTATTAGTAGAATATGGTCTAATCGAAATAATATTATTATTAACTTATTGTATTATCATAAAAGTATCAAAGTTTTTTCAAGAAATTAAAACGAAAACATAATAAATTTAATATAATTGGATTGAATAATATGTCTACTCATTATTAAAAAATTCATGCAATTTATACAGAACTTAAAATAGGCTTTAATCTGAGACCGAAATTTTCAAGGAAAAACATGAATTCGCGAAGAAATTAGAAACATATGATCCAATGTATTTAGATAGAGGAATCAGACAGCTTTCTGATTTGAATCCAACTTAACACGTAATGGGTCCGATTTTACGAATCCTGAATTTTGAGATATCTCTACGTTCCAAGACCTTCAGAGTCGAATACAATAGTTTTTAATTTAGAATTTTTTTTGCAGAATCAAGCAACTGGGAAGAAAGCTCAATCTAATCATCTATTCCCTGGGAGTTAGTAGTGTGGACCTTTCGGTTCGCACCAAGACCACCAGAGAGCACTGATATTTTTTAAGGAAAATCTAAATTATCAAAAAATTCCGTTTGTTCCAAATTTGGAATGGATTGAATAGGATTATTTAAGAATGTTTTTCCATTAATTAAGATTTTTTTCATTAAATATACTGTATTGGTATTTTTTAATTTTTAATATATAATAGAAGAATCCAGGAGTAAAAGGATGATACACATAATCGTATAATTGAAATTGAAGTTACGTACTCAGAGTGATGCAAATTATTCATAATTAGTCATTTGAAGGACCATGAGGGATTAAAATTTCAAACTATATTTTTATTTTTTTTCTGCAGCTTTTTTTTCTGGACAGTATCTTTTTTTTGTTTTTCTATCTTATTATCATTTCATTGATACTTTGACAAATGAATAATTGTCTAAATGTTTCACATTGTTCAAGTGTTTCTTCTTTTACATGGATTATCCTCTATATTTTGAATGTAAATAAACTAGCATTATTAATAAAACTGTTGTATTAAATAAAACATAATTTTCGTTTGTGATCAAACATTCCAAATAGTTTTTATTTTGGTTGAAAAATTGACACCTTTAAAGAAAGCAGCTCTACAAATTACAAGTTGCACTTTCTGAATGCAAAAGCAAAAAGTAGTGAAAGTATCGACGCACCCTTTCGATGTATGCAACTTAAAATTGTCCAATTCGAAACACTTAAATATGAATAGGAAAAAAAATATATTTTCCAAAAATTTCCAAATCAATTCTGCTCAGTCTCACCAGCGGAACAAAATTTGGAACTCATCCAGAATGAAGTTTTTTTACACGGGTTATTATCAAATATTTTGATAGATGTTAACGACTAGCATGTTCGTTGGATAATACTACCGATGATTTGATTATTAATTATTATTATCAATAACAATGTTTTGATTAATGAAATTTAATAAAAAGTTAAATTAAAATAAATCCAAACAATTAATCCATCAGTTTAATGTATGTATTAGAATATTTCCTTTCTGCAGCAGCATCTGACGTCTGACGTTAATCTTACGTTAGGAAACCAAAAAGACAAGCAACATACGTAAGTCTGACGACAGCCTGTTTCCTAATGGCTACAAGAGTATCATTTTTGTATAATTTTCATATTACAAAATGTTAAAAATTATTCTAACTGATTAATATTAATAATTTTTAACTGATTATATTTCTAATGTCCAAAATTTTTTAATTTTATTTCATCAATCGTGTTATATCTATAATTCATAACTTATTTGGTTATGATAATGATTAATAACTTTATGACTGTCTGTAATGGTCATAAAGTAATGATCATAAATATCGCATTTTTACGACTAAATTTACAACCTCTCACTTCTTTCGCAGCATGCTTTATCTGGACGCTGCTTCGTTTTACAAGTTGTACACTACCTTTTCTGACAAAGTCTGCCATCTCACCAAACTAACAATAAATGAACACTAATTGAAGAAGAGAATCTTCTTATCATTCAATAAGATTATTTTTGATACACAAAACACTCACGTAATCGTATATAAATGATCTATATAAATGACACATCTCGTTATCATCTTTTTTTACCATACAAAAATGAACTGCAAAATAATTTTTTTTATAAACAAGTAATTTTGTTGACGTCTACAAAATTAGTTTCAATTTCAATAATTGAAGAATAATATAAAAAACATCTATCTACTTTGATGTTGTAAGCGAAAGATAAAAATCCATAAAGCTTTATAGTAGTTATAATTTACAAAACTATGAAAATCTATCAATCATATACTGAAAATCATTTCAATGAAGCATGATTCGTTGAATAAAAGTCATACCTCATAATGGAATATAGAACATATTTTTTTAATACTTATGAGCATTATCTTTATTTTCTCTATTGCATAAAAATTGTATTGAGACAAAAAGGTATTTATATTTTTATTAAATCTTGCACTGAGTGTCTAAATGTGGTTTTTTGAGAAAACATGTTTTAAATTGATTTTGACAGAACCATTGTAACTGTGGTTAGTCATACAAACAATATCGAGATCAGTATAGGAGAATGAATAAACATGCACTAAGCTTAACAAGTCTTGATAAATAAGTACCTAAGTCTGATTGGCCTTGTCAAGTGACGTATATCAATCAAAATATATATTTTGTACTAAATACATATATAACCATTTTTTAATGCTACATAACAAAAATTTTTTTGTATTTTTATACTGAGATTGTATTTATTTTAAAATAATAGTAACTCGTAAGCTAGTACATATCTATACACTGCTTTTTTATTTAATTTCACTTATGTAAAAACTTATTTTTGATATAACATTAATGATTTTCTTATTGATTTTTCGAAAGTAAATCAAATCTTTCGATTAAAGATAAATAAAAATAAGAGAAATATAATAACAATTATAATTGTAATTGATTCAAATGCAATGTATCAACAGGTATGTTACAATTTACTATTGTGAAAACAAAAATTTCTTCGAATACATTTATTTATATTGAATAAATATACTAATTAACTAAATAAAACAAGCCAAGATTAATCATTAGTACCCTAGTTTGATATGACTTAATTTTTAAAACTTATTTCTACGTTGAATTGAAGGTTTAATGAATCTGTAAAATATAAAATATGTATCTTCATATAGTGAATAATTTTTAATTTTTTATAAATAAATGTTCTATTCTATTTACCTTCATTAAATTACATGATTCTAATATAGTTTTTACAATGATAATATTTTATTCTTCATGTATTTGTCACTGCAATTGCTTGTGGTAGGAAAACCACAATGTTTGATTATTTTTCATTACGAAAGTTCTTTTTCCCCAACCAGTAGAGAAGTTTAATGTGCATTGACCGTATTTTTAAGAATAATGGTAATAAAATCAATTGCAACATGAATATTGCCAATACATGGTATAATTCATTAAATTTTTTCTTTTTAGCCTATAATATTTTTTTTATAAATCAGATTTTGGATTCTAACTCAAAAATAGAATTAACTTACCTATTAAAGTTTAAGGTTTTTCTTAGTAATTTTTCACAAATTATATTTTCGTAAATAATCTTATTTCTTCTAATGATGTCTAATAATTTATATTTTGAAACTTCAAATTCGCACATATACAAGAAATATAGATAATGAATCTCATATGCTGACTTACTATTTAGAATAAACTAGACAAAGATTTTTATACGTGTAGACATCAATTAGCTATTGTCAATACTCCATGTGCATGTAATAGGTTTCTTTAAGATGGACTATTTTTATCACAACATTATATTGAAAATTAATTTGAGAAATACAATTACCACTGATGTTGAAATTTATTTAATAGTTATATTTATTTACAAGAATTATATATACATGATTCCTACAAAAATATTTTGTTAGTAAAAGTATTTTCACAATAGAAGCTAAATTAATTATTTTTCTATCTATGAGCCATATTCGCATTCTACTTATTGTATAAAAAAACTTTCATTTATTTCAGTAATGCATGCATTCATCGAGCTTCATTTTTAGGATCAATTACGAAATATCTGTTTAAAAATACATGTTTCAGTACACCAATAACAATAATACCTTAAATAAAAATTTACTACATACTTGTACCTAAGTAAATTTACACATGTATCGATGCTTTCAAATTCCTAAAAATATTTATAATAAAAAATTATGTAAAATAGTAAAAAAAGTTTTAGAACATATTAATATGTCCTATTGTAAGAAAGAAGAAAAAAAAAGAACAAAATTTGATGTGGAAAGTAACTTTAAATTCAGTCTCTAAAGTAAATCAGTAATAGTATCAATAAAAAGTATAATTTCCTAAAATTTGGTATGTATTAGTGAAATTCAAAACAATTTTTTATATATAAAACTTTATAAAAAGTAAATTTCTGTTCATAATATGATTACTAAAATAATTCCAGTTATCAAAATGCTTACTATCAGTTAAGAGAAACATAGTAATAATACTACTATTATGAAAATTATGTACTGTAATCATTATAACAATAATTTTTCTAATTTTCCAATCAAATTTTATATTTGCGCATGCACACAAATGAATCTTTGGTGCTTTGGCGAAAAATAAATAATACAAAAAAATGTGTCTGAGCCCAAAAAAATAAAATTGAAATGATTATATTGTAATTTACTTTTTCAACAAACATCATTATTACGATTAACTGAAAAGCAAAAAAATCAAGTATAATGAAAACAGTAAGTATGAGTTTTAGTACATGCACAACTGTTACATCTGATTATGTAGCCGAAATGATTAATATTCATCTATAAATATACTTTTAATCCTTCAAAGAAACCTATATTCACTTAAAATTAAATAAAACGAGTAATTGGTTAAAAAAAGCATTCATTTGTTTCCAATGTAATTTGAGTAACACCAACTTTCACTTTCTCTATCTGTCACGTTGAGAATGTCGATAAGACCGATGACGACGATGACGATTAATATTACCATCACTCATATTATTATCTACACCATCATTTTCAGTTTCTTTGTCATATTATCATCTTGGACATCATTATATTATCTCGACTTTGATAATGATGATGCCGGAGATCATCATCATGACTATCATTATATCATCATCTTCGTCATTACTTGATTCTTCTCCATACATATCTGCCAATTTCCGGAATCTTGGACCCAAAATTAGATAAATAATTGAATTTTAAGTCACCATCATCAGTTGCATGATGCCAATGATGATAAAGAACATCAGAATTGCCCTTCACCTTCATATGCATATGCCGAACATCATCATACGGTGTGTGTCAGATCTTTATCACAATTTGTTTTTTATTATCAAGAATCCACAAATATCACGTGAACTGCCATTTCTTCAGAATTTACTCTATTATTTGGATTATAGATGAACCACTTTTGAATCAATCCTGTGTAGGGTTGTCATATATATGTCTTAAAACATTAATCGTATCCAGTATCAACCACACCTCCTTCATCTTCGTAATAATTATATTTCCCTTATAAGCATCATATCTTTATATTAGATCATCTCGCTTCCGTCTGATGACAACCACAGCTAGAAGAAGAATCATCTATTGCTAGCCTACGCACACATAGGATCGCACCAGCAAAATTGGTATCAATTCCACGAACGGCTTTTGACATACTGTGACTGCATGCTCGGAGAAGCATTTACTTACGCGAAAGTTCTACTAAAATCATAAGTAGTTCCATTTATTGTTAAATTTCTCGATATACATCCAACAACCCTCTATTAATAGGTTTGTAATTCCAACTTCACTAACTGAGATAAATCATTAGCTTTCAGCATTGTACCAACACCAATGTGTAAGGGCTATTGACATTAAAATTCATAGGCCCAATGTGGTCAACTAAACTCATACATGCTGACTAACCACAGTATCAACTTGCATTTCAGATAGTAGTTTTGTGTCCACTAGCTATCAATTCGATGCTCTTTACGACCGATCGTCTAATTGTGTGTGTTTTGGTCAAGTTTTACAGTTCCAGCCACTGGACCCATAATCAACATATAAAACAGCGGATACATGTTGAATTCAAGTGACATAAATCCTGATAAGTTTGATCATGCATTGTTCGCCAACTCCTCGGCCCAATGTAAAATACTATCATGGTCTAAATAAGAGTTTACTCTAAACCAGAGGAGAATCATCACATGCGTGATTGTACGCGATGTTAAAATGCCCACATCACCAGTTGAAACCCTATATCCATAATTCACATCGTGGACCATCTAACCAGGAGGCATCACATCGATCTCTTCACCCGTTTCAGTAATTAATGCGTTCCACCGTAAGAGGGCACGTTATGGTTCATCAGCAACATGACAAGTTGGCACTGTGGGTCAACAACTGCTCTACACAACACGAATGATGCTAATATTTGTGACAACAGAGTAAGGTTCGGTGTTACACTTAAATAGCTTCGTACAAGAAGTTTATTACAATCGTCTCTCATAAACATTCATCATATTCATTAATGAATACTGACGTTTAAATCGGGTTCTAGTCTCTTTTGATATATGCAACTATGGGCATTTATCGTTCAGCGGCATAATATGGACTTCCATGTGCAGAAAATCTACACTCTAGTAAACTTTTATAGTGTAATGTGGCGACGTGTAATAACACAGTAAAGACATCAATATTTCTATAGTGAAATTACAGAACTCGCTGATAATCGTTTCGTGCAACATGTCTTCCTTTACTATAGCTGCATTTCGGTTTGGTGCATGAACTCTTCAGCACGTAGTCCATGAAACGTACCGACGCCCAGGCTTCATACCTGCTTCTATTCGGGTATATTTTTACGGTGACATTCACATAGCATTTACACTGTGACGTTTAATAGCTTTAGAGGCTTCCGTTACCTTGAATCGACAAGTAAATAATGAAGCATCATTCCATTGACCCAGAAAGCATAGTTATCATTC